TGATCGAACTTGACCTCTCTAGGTTAATTTTAAGTCCAATGTTAAGTTAATTTTAATGTGTACATATCACTATAGCATGGTTATTTTATAAGATTAAATTAATCTCATCTTTATTTATGAAAAGTGACTGGCACTAGATCATAAACTAGGGAATTTCGCCCCTTCCCAGGGAGGAATTGGTACCCCAGGGGTTGTGAAATTCACATTTTGATTAAGCACATCAGGCTATATCCATCCATGAGAATGTTTTCATATCTGGATCTGAAGTAGACAATTATTGTTTCAGCTATTTTGGCTCCGCCCCTCAGGCCCTTAGCTTGCACATGATGACAACTCCAACCAAGTATGAATTTGTAACTACTGAAAATGGATAAAATATATCTTGAAAAGTCTTATTTCCATAAACTATAGCAAAATGTATCCCCTCCCCAGGAGTAAATGGGCAACAATTGATAAAAAAAACTGAAGGTATACACCTCCCATAGATCAGGTATACACCTCCAATACATCAGGTATATACCTACTATAGATCAGATATACACCTCCTATAGATCAGATATACACCTCCTATAGATCAGGTATACACCTCTCATACATCAGGTATACACCTCCCATAGATCAGGTATACACCTCCCATACATCAGGTATACACCTCCCATACATCAGGTATTTACCTCCTTTAGATCAGGTATACATATCCTATAGAGCCACACTGTTGGAATTACTTCTTTGCCCCATATCCTATAGATCAGATATACACCTCCCATACATCAGGTTTATTCCTTTTACATTGTTACATTTATTTGGGTCCAAAGGTCAAAGACAAAGTGGATCTCTGACTCTGACTTTGACCCTGGCTCTTGATGGAGAAAGGTGAAATAAAACAAATCAAAGCTAGCAAATGAGTATTGCACCGGTAATTACATTTCTGTTAGCCCAGCAAATATGGAGGTGGAAGGAAACACATCACATCATAGTACATGTAAAATGTATATTTTGCTTCCTTGCGATTCTTTTTGAAGTCTAAATGTCAAACGTCAAGCTCAGCTATATGGGCAGATTGCTTCTTGATGATAATGGGGGATATAATTGCCACAAGACGGGGCCCTTACTGACCTGTCAGTGTTCTAGTTGTGGTCTAGCTCTCTTGAACAAGAAGCACAGGCGCATTAATTATTAATAGCTCACCTGGATTTTTATTTTTCATTAAAAGTTGTTGATTACCTCTAACCATACCGGAAATATCAGCTGGGGGATCTCAATAATTTCCATATTTTTTTCAGACCTGAGATATGCTACAATTTTGGCAGTCATTCAGGAAGAGTAGGTTTTGAAGATGAAATGTCTTATTTTTCTCTATACCGGAAAACATACCTTGTATATATTTTGTTTCATGTACATTGTATCTTCTGGAAAATGAATAGACACTATATATAATAGAGATGATAAATACAAGTACCTTATGCAATGAGGCTGTATTATATAGAGAATACCCTTACTCAATAAATAATGACGCTTTATGAGGTAAATCCATAAACAAATTTCAGCAAGTAGATGATATACATGTATATTTGAAAACTGTCTCGGGATATATTTCATATACATAACATCATTATAGAAACAGTATACAAAATATGTAAAGATAGTATTATGTGTACATAGTATATATTTAATATATTTATAAAACAAGGCAAAGTATTATGTGTAAGGCAATCCGTAGTGCCCCAAAGGTAATGATTTCTATATTTAACCAACAGTACCTATTATGTATGAATGTATCTACTGTTAGGAAAGTATCCTGATACATACTTCTTGCACTCCTCCATCCCAAGAATGAGATGTCCTTGTACACAAAATCTGGTTACTCGAGGTGAAATAGTATAGAAGTACAGAGTGCAAACCTATAATCCCCCAGGAACCAGTGGGGGACTAAAATGTGTATATAGAATATATGAAAGTGGTAAACTTTTTATATACTCTGTATATTACTTTGTACACCACTTTTTCTTTACTATGTACAGCCATATAGCACTCTCCGTATATTCTGTTTATCACTCATTTATACTCTGAATACAACTCTCTGTATAATATTTATACCACTCTCTATGCTCTGTATACCACTCTTAATATACTATGTTACAAGACCAATCCTTATATACCCTGTATATCACTGTTTATAAGCTGTATACCACTCTTTATAAGCTGTATACCATTCTTTATATACTTTGTATACCACTCTCTGTATACTATGCATATATCACTCTTTATATACTCTGTAAACCACTTCTAATATACTATCATTATATAACCTTCTCAATATTTTTTTTGTAAATACATATTGGTTATATTTTATAATAAACAAGAGGCACTGAGTTAGGACCAGTCTCCTGGGAAAATCCTAACAAAAGCGTATCCAAATTGTGAAGCTCAGCAATATATATACTACTACAGTCAGGTTTTACACATGTATTTACTATCACATACAGGTATTACACATGTATACCTATCATATACAGGTATAACACATGTATATACTACTACAGACAGGTATTAAACATGTACTGCTACAGACAGGTATTAAACATGAATATACTATCACAGATAGGTACTGCACATGTAATTACTACTACAGAAAGGTATTACACATGTATATATTATCACAGATAGGTGTATACACATGATATATTCTATCAGTTTGCACAGACAGGTAATATTACACATGTATACCTATCATATACAGGTATTACACATGTATATACTACTACATACAGGGATGGTCGCATGGTGCAGTGGATAGCGCACTTGCCTTTCACCAAGGCGGCCAGGGTTTGATTCCCCAATCGGACGTGAAAAGGTTGTTGGGGTTCCCATATATATTGCTATTGTTGTTTCTGGGGGGAGGGGGTTGAATGGAAAATATTTTTATTTATTTATTTATTTTCTCATTATATAAATATCTGTTTTACCATGAAATCTTATATTTGAATGGTAATGAAGTGCATGCTGTTATCATGTTACAATCTGGCTTGTGTGAAATGCCTTTTAGGTCACAAAATACAATTGTATCTCTATAAAATATATCTAGTGATCAATATCTCGAAGACTTTAAAGAACATGCACCTGATGATGAAATACCACTTATCTGTATATCATTATGTATTAAATACTGAAATATTACCTCTTGTCTGTGATAGTACAAAAAAAATACAAGTTTATAACCAGTTTGAAACAATGAATTTATGTTCCTTACATGACAATTGCAAGATATCGATAGAACATAGAATTACAAATACATACATCCCTTTATGTCTGTGATAGTTAAAACAATTTTATCTTAAGCAATATAATTCAAGATCCATAGCCTGTCTGTGATAATAAATACAGGTGCATGACCAGTCTGAAACAGTAAATAAAAAAATATGTTCCTATTGTCTGTGATAAGCAGCCTGAAAAAAATAATAAATGTTCCTTTTATGTTTTTTATAGTTAATACCAGTTTATAAGCAGCCCGAAACAATTAATAAATGTTCCTAATATGTTTGTTATAGTTAATACAAGTTAATAAGCAGCCCGAAACAATTAATAAATGTTCCTAATATGTTTGTTATAGTTAATATAAGTTTATCACCAGTCTGAAACAATGAATAAATGTCCATAAGCTGTCTGTGAATTTGTACGGGTAATGATACAATTTTATCATATTACTTTTAAAACATTAAATCCGTGAAGAAAATCAAGATAAAACATTTTAATGACATAAGTGTAAGTTATACATGCAGTAGGATCGTTTTCCTTCAGTTATGAAATACATAGGAACATCCCTTTCTCCACCACTTACCCCCCATCTACTTTATAATGCTTAACCTTTTAAAATAATGGTAATACCGCTATAACCAGACGTATATTTGGTGGCATTAAACTTCTACTTTCACTTTCACATACTTCATTTCCGGTTACGAAATACGAAACTGAGGCTTTCGATTTAATGCGTTACCGTGCACAGCTGCCGTTTATAACATTCGAGCAAAACAGACTAAAGTAACGTTAAAGAAAACGACGACATCAACAATATTGTGACGTTTTACACGTGGTTCCCCTGGAGAGCTTTGATGACGTGACGTTCAACATATATTTGACGAACTAGTTGATATTGTCCTTCCCGTGGACTTAGTACATGTACCCCTCATAGACTACGTGGCAACGCAGCAGACCGAGGGAAATCTCTGGACCTATAACAATGAATATTGTACTCTCAAGCTCTCAAGATGTTAAAAGGAAATATGAAATGTCCATATTATACAATTTGTATCCTTTGTCTGTCACATAAAACGAATTAAGAAGGAAAATTAAAAAGATAAACAGTTTTCTCTACATGTTAAGATTCCGTATACTTAGAGTCATCTTTGTATTCTTCTTTTTCTCCGAAATTCTAATATATTCCATTGAATCGTTTTGATGAACTGTTTAATTGAAGTATCGTGACGTACAAGGAACTAACTCTGTCCATAATTCTTCGAAGCGCAGAGTGTCGACAACATGTCAACATTGAACTAAAAAATGACATGACACGCCAAAATGAAGCTCAGTTATGTTTGAAACGTCTTTAACAGTCCCATGAGTAAAAAAGGAATAACAGGATGACATGCAGGAAATGCAAAACAATAAAACGCATGGATGACTGGAATCTTAATCAGGAAAAGCACCCAAACTATGATAATCCGTCAGATAATTAAGGTTAATGCTATCACCAAAGGAGTGACACACACCCTGCATTACAGTTATCAATACATATGTCTACTTAACTGAAAAGTCGCAAAATATGTAATTAATTTAGAAATAGTTGTGCCTGTCATATATCACTCAAAATTGACCACAAAGTACATTAAATATACACCTAAGGGTTACGAAAATTAATTGATATTTAGAGTTGTTTTCTGATAAGGAAGTTACCTGTACATTCCGAATTACACAATCAACAATGTGTAAGTTATTCACAAATCATTCATCACCGTCTTCAATAGCGTGACAAGAAAGCTAAAATCGGGGCAGTCATTAACGAAAACGCATGACGTAGCTACGACAATAAATTCACCGTTATGTGCCTGCTTTAATCATTTAGTCGAAGACGTCAAGGGTTATACATGTCAACGAACAAGGCACAAAAAGGTGAGTTAAACTTGCTTTCGTATCGTGCAATCTGCATGTGTTTTTTTATTATATGATTCATTGCAATAAGATATGTGAAAAGGGAAGATAAGCGAAAGTTTCTTAACGAATGATGATCGGTTATCGTCTTTCTCTAATTCGAGTTATTCAATTTTTAAATTGCATAATATACTAGTTATATCATGTGTAGGTACCAGTTATATCATATACCAGATATATTAATAGTATATTATGTGTAATAACTAAGTATAAATATAAACTTTGTTCAAAAATGGTAACCATTGTTTCCAGAACAACGCTTCGCGAAAGCTGTTCAAAACTGACTAAAGGGAATGTTCAGTAATTTAGTCATGGACATCGACCAAGAGCGATGTATTGTTTTTGGCATTTCCTTTCAAATATTCAAAAACTTTAAAGGGAATGTTCAGTAATTTAAAGTTTTTGAATATTTGAGGGAAAATGCCAAAAACAATACATCGTTCTTGGTCGATTCTCTTAAATCTTTTTTTCAAAGTATTTCGTCTCCTTTCAAACTGTATATCTAAACTACACGATTTACGTTCATCAACACAATGTGTCATTATACGCATTAAAGTATAAGCCTCGTTTTATTGTTGGTTGGTTTCATTCATTGTTATTTACATTTGCGTAGTTGCTGGCTTCATTTTAACTATTAGTGTCTGCTATACATTATGTCTACGTTTCTGCCATACATTATATCTATGTATCTGCCCTACATTATATACACGTTGAAAAAATGACAACGTGAAGCCGCACGTATCATTACTGGTCTTCCTTCCTATGCTAATAATTATGCTCTCTATTTTGAATCGGGGTTAGAAAGACTCTCAGACAGGAGAAAAAAGGGAAACTGCAGTTATTGTACAAAATGAAAAATGGTATCACCGCTGCATTCTTAAACAAAATTCTACCCAATACAGTAAACCGAAATGTCAGATATCCTTTAAGAAACAGTAATGACTTTGTAATACCAAATTTCAGACTTTCTAGTACAAATTCATCCTTCTTACCTTCTACGCTTCGCTCTTGGAACAATTTAGATACTGCTAAAAGATCATCGGTCACTTTAGGAAGATTCAAAAAAGCAATCTATCGAGAATCGGACACCAAGACGCCCAGTTATTTTGGTAATGGTGAACGAAAACTAAATATAATTCACACTAAATTAAGGTACAACTGCAGTTCCCTAAATTATGATTTATTTAGAGTCAACATCGTAGATAGTCCCGCCTGTGTCTGTGGATCTCCATGTGAAAACGCCTATCATTTCTTTTTTGAATGTCCAGTTTATACACACCAGAGATTTGAATTGTTTCAAAATCTAAATTTTGTTAATGAAATCTCCTTAGGTATATTGTTATCTGGTATTCCGGATCTGTCTTCTAAACAAAATAATGATATTTTTCGTAACGTGCAAATATTCATAAAGACCAGCGGTAGGTTTTAATTCGTAAGGCGTTTGATATTTTTATACTCAATTTGTGAGACTGTTCAATGTTGTTCTTTCTTTTTTTCTTTTTCTTTCTCTTTTTGTTTCTGTTGTTGTAATGCTACTATTATACATATTATTTGATACCCAGTTGTGCCATGTTTGTAAATCTGATGTATATATTTGAGGAAAGGGCGTAAATAATGTTGTAATAACTTGTGCCAAAACCTGTTGTCACTATTTTGGCAATAAAATATGTTTAAACTAAATCTACGTTTCTGCCATACATTATATCTATGTTTCTGCCATTCATTATGTCTACTTATCTGTCATAACACTATTTCTACGTTTCTGCTATACATTATTTCTACGTATCTGCCATACACTATTTCTACGTTTCTGCTATACATTATTTCTACGTTTCTGCCATACATTATATCTATGTTTCTGCTATATATTATTTCTACGTTTCTGCCATACATTATATCTACGTTTCTGCTATACATTATTTATACGTATCTGCCATACATTATATCCACGTTTCTGCTCTACATTATTTCTACGTTTCTGTAATACATTATATCTACGTTTTTGCTATACATTATTTCTACGTTTCTGCCATACATTATATCCACGTTTCTGCTGTACATTATATCTATGTTACTGCTATATATTATTTCTACGTTTCTGCCATACATTATATCTATGTTTCTGCCATACATTATGTCTACTTATCTGTCATAACACTATTTCTACGTTTCTGCTATACATTATTTCTACGTTTCTGCCATACATTATATCTACGTTTCTGCTATACATTATTTCTACGTATCTGCCATACACTATTTCTACGTTTCTGCCATACATTATATCTACGTTTCTGCTATACATTATTTCTACGTTTCTGCCATGCATTATATCCACGTTTCTGCCTTACATTATTTCTACGTTTCTGCCATACATCATTTCTACGTGTCTGCCCTGCATTAAATCTACGTTTCTGCCATACATTATATCTATGTTTCTGCCATACATTATTTCTACTTATCTGCCATACACTATTTCTACGTTTCTGCTATACATTATATCTACGTTTCTGCTATGCATTATTTCTACGTATCTGCCATTCATTATTTCAATGTATCTGCCATACTATATATTTACGTGTCTGCCATACATTACATCTACGTACTTGGCATACATTATATCTACGTGTCTGCCATACATTATATCTATGTTTCTGCCATACATTATTTCTACGTATTTGGCATACATTATATCTACGTGTCTGCCATACATTATATCTACGTATCTGACATACATAATTTCAATGTATCTGCCATACATCCTTTCTATGTTTCTGCCATACATCATTTCTACGTTTCTGCCATACATTATTTCTACGTATCGACCATATATTATTACTACATTCTGTTTATATTCGCTCTTTTCAGGACATTATGCCATCTGCGTTGCGTGTTATTTTCTGGATTAGCCAGTTTGTCCTAATTTTCGCGCATGAACATTTTTCAAAATATCAAGTGCGAACATATCCACAAACTTTATATGAATGCAGCAATAAGTCTGTGACCTTTGGAGAGGTCAGTCATGAACAGGAAAAACAACAGATTATTTCCTATTTGGACTGCTTCAAAGGCGACGCAATCAAGACGTTACACCCTAACATTACTCAGGAAAGGATCAACCAATTCAGTGAAGTGCTACGACGGATGACATCTGATCACTGGCGAGTGAAGAGACAATCGGGACGGGTCCGAAATAGAATGCGACGCGAAGTACGCGCGCTTAACCCGGCAGAATGGCGTCAGGTCACGACCGGGTTTAATAGATTATTTAGGAGTGGGGTAAGTAATCATATATATGTCTTAATTTGTAGTAGTTAGTCGAAATATTCCACGTCAATAAAAATAAATACTGTAAATAATTCCTAATGATATTCGATTCGATCACATGACTTCAAATAAATGTTCGTGCTAAGCATCCACGTACTGTAACCAAGTATCGAAATTGACCCTAGTACATTTAAGAAAATATTTCTGAAAAGAAGCACGTTTTTTATATTGTTCTCTTTTTTTGCAGAATTTTCACGACGTTTCGCTTTTTATTTAATCTATTTGTTTTCTTTTATTGATTTTTTCATTGTCTTTTCAGTTTTTTGGATGAAAAAATATTCCCAATCAAATAAATGATTTATTTTGGAATAAAATACATAAAACAACAAACAGAACGGTCAAAATTTATGGAGAAATGATGGAGAAAAGTATTGCTATTTAACATTAATAATCGAGATATTCAAGAACTCATAAGTATAGAAGTTATGTGTGTAAAGATAAGTGGGCATTGCTTGCGACCTTTTTTGTGAAAAAAAACTTGGACCTGCAAACAGTCGTTTTGACTATCTGAGCTAGTCGTTCAACGACAGTCAGTAAGTCAAAAGTCGTTCTAACCATCTGAGCTTAAAGCACGCAGAGACACACAGAGAAGGGAGGGGAGTACAGAATGCATCTGACATTTAAGAGATAGACAAAGAGATAGATAGAGAGAGTAAAAGAGAGAGAAGAGACAGAGACAGAGACAGAGAAAGACAGACACGGAGAGACACAGAGAGGGAATAAATAAAGAGTAAGATAAACAATGACTGATATATAAAGAGATTGGTATGTTGAACTTATACTGAGATGTTTACTACATGTTTGCAGGAACTCCGAACAATTGTTGACTTCCACAACGATGCTGCCATTGGGGGCGCCCACGGTGGACCGGCTTTCCTCGGCTGGCACCGAATATTACTAATATGGTGAGAACTTCTCCTTCGCCCTTTACCCAATTTTCTCATCATTATTTATTTGATAAAATTCCATGTCATATTAACAACAAAACAGTAGGGAACAGAGTGCTCGTATAAATGATGTATAAATCAATTAGCTATACTATTAGCGGCTGTAACGACACGTCTCATTGGTTGGGTTAGAAGAAAAAAGCAATTGTCTCCAGGTGTATTGTTTCCACTAAATAAATTATAATTGTTAACTGTTTGAGGAATGACTATAGTACATTCACACAGATGACCCTGTTCCTGTACGATACGTATCTTATAGGAGTGGTTCTCGGTAACTGACTGGAGAGTTGATGGTTGTTAAGTCCTCGCAACTGTTCCAAGAAGTGTGTGTGGGGGGAGCAGCATATCAATTTCGTAGAATACACAGAGATTATGCAGGGGGCCCTACATTCGTCGCAATCCGATGCACATTCAATGTGATAAAATAGGTACATATATTGGGTCTACACTGCCCCTCTAAACCGAGGACAAGGAACCACTCCGATTCCGCATCGGAGGGTTGGGGGATATAAGTCGCTTTTTATAATCACACAGTGGAATACAGCAGGCTTATCATTTCACCGAATCTAAACAGGTTGCTAAGAAGTGCAAAATATCGTTAACAGTACTTTATCTGGAATAGATAAATAATAATTTATCATGTTTGCATAGCGTCTTTGTGAAGCGGACGCCATTTTCATCGTTCAGAGGCGGCCAAGTGCAAAATATTCGTTTCAGATCACAATTATAGAGTTTACCTTGTATTATATGATAAAAAGAATCTGTATTTCGTTTCTCTTCATATTAGATTGATGATACCCGTTTTAAATTTTTCATGTTTGCTCGCCAGAGGCTCGCAAACAGGTGAACAATCCAAAACTTGTATCATAAATCTAATATGAAGGGAAACTTATGACATATCCTCTATATCTATTACGCAAGGACATGTTGTTTGCTTCATAGATAAATATGTTATTGTTTATTTATCACATAATGTACTGTGTTATAAAATAAGTATACCCATGTCATATTATTTGGCATATTAACACATGTATTATGAACTATCAGCCCTGTGATGTTTCAATTGTGACGTCACGCCTATGACAAGTTCATGACGTCACAGACTTACGCACTGGAGTCAAAATGGCGGCTTTTTGCATTTCAAGATTGCATGAAAACTGCCGTTTTACACGAATAAATTCCACAAATCTTGATTATGTGATAAAAAGGATCTTACACTCGTTTTCTTTTCATATGACTCTAAGAATCGTTTCATAAATCTCATATGAAAAAGGAAACTCATGGATATAGATAAATGTTACTATACTTTTCTGTTGTCCCTATTTGTATATAACACACACTGTTTACAACTTATCACAGGATCGAGTTTTACCTGTCGTTCCCGATGCCTTACTGGGATTCTTCTCTAGATTTCCACATTACAGATCCCACACGATCCATTGTATGGACGAGGTTTTACTTCGGTAACGGTCGTGGAACCGTACGGACTGGTCCCTTCCGCACATTTACTGAGCCCAACGGAAACCGTATATCCAGAAATATTGGACGATCTGGAACGTTGATTGCACGAGAGAATGTCGAGTCCATCACGAGCAGAAGGAGTAACAGGGAACTGGTTTACACAGATCAGGTAACATGCGAGGGTTATCACAACGGTCCACACGTGTGGTCGGGAGGCACTCTACTGAGCATTGTATCAGCGCCTTCCGATCCTGTCTTTTGGTTCCATCACAGCTTCGTCGATAAACTGTGGCGAGATGCCCAGAGGCGAATGCGTAGACCTGAAGAATATCCTTTCCAAGCTGGTACGAACCCATCCCAACGTCCAAGGCAGAATATGGTAATGTTTCCGGTAGATCCGCGTTTTCCGCTGCTGAATCGGGATGGTTACATGAACTGGGTTGCTAGACGCGCTACATATCAGCGATCACCTGGACAAGCGACACGGAGGTCACAGTGTATAAATCCAGCATGGCGGAACCGTCAAGTGCTAATCTGGGACAACCAAAGGCGGATATGTGTTACTGGCGAGGGCAATCCCACAGACTTCAACACACCTCCTGATCCACAAGAAAATCTGATGGCATCATCAGCGTTTAACGCTGGTTCTAATTCAGATCTCCACTTCCAGTCTCCACTTACAGATCTGAGAACCAACGGAGAAACATTGAACAACCAAGCAGCTAATACTTTCAGTGCTGGAAATAGTGTTGTTAGGAATAGAAATAGAGTCTTTAACAATATGTTTACTTCCGAGCTTGTCGATGTAAGAACAGGTGCCCGACCAGCACCAGTTTTACCAAATCGGCAATCATTGGCATTACGGTTGGAAGGAATTATTGAACGACTGCGACGACAACGACAAGACATGACAGTACAAGTACCCAGTAATTCGCGCCCGTCTTCGTTTCAAAACCAAATTGACTTTATTCCCGGTACAGGCTTCAGTAATGTAATCCCACAACAACAGTTTGTTAATTTTCAATTTGTATAAAGACAAGAGGTTTATTCTACTGGACAGCAGGTTCCTTTTATAGAAATACATTTTAATTAAGCAGCTATACCTTTTCTATTCATATAACGTTGAACAATAAAATCCATTCTATAGTTATAATGTGTCCATCCCTTTCATCTAAATTATACACTATAAACGATGGCACTACTACGGTGGTATGTGTTGACAATGTCGTCGGTGTTAACATCCTGGTATGGTGACTGTTGGAGCAACTCTTACTGCTCTATTCACATCAAGTGAACAAAGATATGTTTGGGTAAAATCAACAGGAATATTAGGTATACTAAAACCACTATGACACTGTCATAGATGTTAACACTGTGGTATGTGTTCACACTGTGGTATGTGTTCACACTGTCATCGATGTTGACACTGTCATAGATGTTAACACTGTGGTTGTGTTCACACTGTGGTATGTGTTCACACTGTCATCGATGTTAACACTGTGGTATATGTTGACACTGCCATCTATGTTAACACTATGGTATGTGTTGACACTGCGATCGATGTTACCACTGTGGTATATGTTCACACTGTGGTCTGTGTTGACACTGCCATCGATGTTAACACTGTGGTATCTGTTGACACTGCGATCGATGTTATCACTGTGGTATATGTTCACACTGTGGTCTGTGTTGACACTGTCATCGATGTTAACACTGTGGTATCTGTTGACACTGCGATCGATGTAATCACTGTGGTATATGTTCACACTGTGGTCTGTGTTGACACTGCCATCGATGTTAACACTGTGGTATGAGTTCACACTGTGGTATGTGTTCACACTGTGGTATGTGCTGACATTGCCATCGATGTTAACACTGTGGAATGTGTTCACACTGTGGTATGTGCTGACACTGCGATCGATGTTAACACTGTGGAACGTTGTCCACACTGTGGTATGTGTTGACACTGCCATGGATGCTCACACTGTGATATGTGTCGACATTGTCGTCGCTATTAAAACTGAAGTGTGTTGATACTGCCATCGATATTAACACTGTGGTATGTGTTCACACTGTGGTGTGTGTTGACACTGCCATCGACGTTAACACTGTTGTATGTTTTCACACTGCCATCGATGTTAACACTGTGGTATTTGTTGACATTGTCGTCGCTGTTCACACTGTGATATGTGTTGACACTGGCATCGATGTTAACACTGTGATATGTGTTGACACTGCCATCTATGTTAACACTGTGGTATTTGTTGACATTGTCGTCGCTGTTCACACTGTGATATGTGTTGACACTGCCATCAATGTTCACACTGTGGTATGTGTCGAAATTGTCGTCGTTATTAAAACTGAAGTGTTGATACTGCCATCGCTATTCGCACTGTGATATGTGTTGACATTGCCTTCGATGTTAACACTGTGGTATGTGTTGACACTGCCATCGATGTAAACACTGTGGTATGTGTTCACACTGTGGTATGTGTTTACACTGCCATCGATGTTCACACTGTGGTGTGTGTTGACACTGCCTTCGATGTTCACACTGTTGTATTTGTTTACATTGTCGTCGCTGTTCACACTGTGATATGTGTTGACACTGCCATCGATGTTACCACTGTGGTATGTGTTGATATTGACATCGATGTTACCACTGTGGTATGTGTTCAGACTGTGGTATGTGTTCACACTGTGGTATGTGTTGACACTGCCATCGATGTTTACACTGTGGAATGTTGTTAACACTGTGGTATGTGTTTACACTGCCATCGATGTTCACACTGTGGTGTGTGTTGACACTGCCTTCGATGTTAACACTGTGGTATGTGTTGACATTGACATCGATGTTAACACTGTGGTATGTGTTCACACTGTGGTGTGTGTTGACACTGCCATCGATGTTACCACTGTGGTATGTTGTTCACACTGTGGTATGTGTTGACACTGCCATCGATGTTTACACTGTGGAATGTTGTTCACACTGTGGTTTGTGTTTACACTGCCATCGATGTTAACACTGTGGTATGTTGTTCACACTGCCATCGATGTTAACACTGTGGTATGTGTTGACACTGCCATCGATGTTAACACTATGGTATGTGTTTACACTGCCATCGATGTTAACACTGTGGTATGTTGTTCACACTCTGGTGTGTGTTGAAACTGCCATCGATGTTAACACTGTGGTATGTTGTGTTCACACTGTGGTATGTGTTGACAATACCATCGATGTTAACACTGTGGTATGTGTTGAAACTGTCATCGATGTTAACACTGTGGGACGTTGTTCACACTGTGATATGTTTTGACACTGCCATCGATGTTACCACTGTGGTATGTGTTGACATTGACATCGATGTTAACACTGTGGTATGTGTTCACACTGTGGTGTGTGTTGACACTGCCATCGATGTTACCACTGTGGTATGTTGTTCACACTGTGGTATGTGTTGACACTGCCATAGATGTTAGCACTGTGGTATGTGTTGACACTGTCATCGATGTTAACACTGTGGGACGTTGTTCACACTGTGATATGTGTTGACACTGCCATCGATGTTAACACTGTGGTATGTTGTTCACACTGTGGTGTGTGTTGACACTGCCATCGATGTTACCACTGTGGTATGTTGTTCACACTGTGGTATGTGTTGACAATACCATCGATGTTAACACTGTGGTATGTGTTGACACTGTCATCGATGTTAACACTGTGGGACGTTGTTCACACTGTGATATTTGTTGACACTGCCTTCGATGTTAACACTGTGGTATGTGTTGACACTGCCATCGATGTTAATACTGTGGTATGTTGTTCACACTGTGGTATGTGTTGACACTGCCATAGATGTTAACACGGTGGTATGTGTTGACACTGCCATCGATCTTAACACTATGGTATGTGATTACACTGCCATCTATGTTAAAACTGTGGTATGTGTTGACACTGCCATAGATGTTAGCACTGTGGTATGTGTTGACACTGCCATCGATGTTAACACTGTGGTATGTGTTGACACTGCCATCGGTATTAACACTGTGGTATGTTGTTCACACTGTGGTCTGTGTTGACACTGCCATCGATGTTAACACTGTGGTATGTGTTTGTACTGCCATCGATATTAACACTGTGGTATGTGTTCACACTGTTGTGTGTGTTGACACTGCCATCGATGTCAACACTATGGTATGTGTTGACATTGTCGTCACTGTTCACACTGTGATATGTGTTGACATTGTCGTCGCTATTAAAACTGAAGTATGTTGACGCTGTCGCAGGTGTTTACACAGTGGTATATTTTGACACTTTTGTTTTCTTACTCTATGGTAGGTCTCAAAGCTGTTGCATGTGTCAACACTGTGGTAAGAGTAAACGCTATGGTACTGTACATGTATGTTTGAATGCTGTGTTGTGTTTACGGTATCGTTTGTGATAATGCTGTTTTATGCGTCAACGCCGTGGTATGGTTCAACTTTGTGGTGTGTTTTAACGTTGTGGTATATTTTAACGTTGTTGTATGTGACAACACTGTAGAATGTTAAGGCTGTCGTTTGTGCTAATAATGTGCTATGCGTTAACGCTGTTGTATGTGTTAACACTATCGTTCGGTTACTACTTTGTTTTAACCCTGTGTTTTGTGTAGACGCTACTGTTTGTGCTCTAAAGCTGTTCTTGCTCTCCATATTGTTGATTACATGACATGAATAGTACAAATCACAAAAAGCAAATATGATAAGGTACTGTGTTTCCTACAATGTACTTACTACTTGCTGTGACATCTGTAATGTACTTGCTGAACCGCTAAATACTAAATATAATGAGGTGACAGACGGCATGAAACACCATACTCCTTCACTGGTTTTTATTCCCACTCCTGCGCAGACTCAAACATGTACATGACAACATCCGGTGATTATAAGGGACGATTATCATCCGGATAAGGACTGATCTAGGACATAACAGTTACCTCATACAATGTAATATTGGATAAAACTACAGGTATATTGTAACGGACATGACACAATATAAGCATTGAAATTCGATGAAATAGTAAGTAATCATATCATTATAAAAACATCTGAGAAGTTTTCAGAATTTAATTCAATTGAAATGTTAATGCTCACATTACTTCACCAAAATATATAAATCAAACACTGTTTGGTTCTTTGGGTGTTTTGTTTAACTCTCTCGAATATTTCTACATTTTGAGCTGTTGAGAGGTTAGATTCTAATATAACAATATTTTGATAGAGAGTTGAGATAGAAAGGAAGTTAAGGCATGTTCGACTTTTAGTTTCATACTTTCGAAATTATTTTAGGAAATGTTTGTTTCGAAGGCAGTAATGCAAGAACATATAGGACTATCAAAACGATTTTTTATGGAAGAGATAACATTATCAAAGAACAGCATTCCATGCCAAGACTAACATTGTGGATCTGTCAAATACGGGAACCATAATTGTGAAAGGAAGGAAAAAGAGTTGTTTTATTGTTTCTGGTAGTTGATGCCATAACTCAATGCTACCAGTGAATGTCGGAGTTTGTTTGAGGTAAAATGTCACTAAGATATTTTTGGGTCATATGATGTATCCTGTGAGATATCTGTATTATTCTGTAGTGGTCACGTCTGGTTTTGAGGGGTTTCCAGCCAGTGTTAAGAATACTTGCTCTTTTTTACCGGTAATTATACGTCGTGCAAATTCTTGTTGAAAACTTTCTAACATTTTTGACTGAGCAATTGTTTGTTGTCCTAAACTAATCCCCATTTTATAAAATTGATCTTATGAAGGAAATGTACAATATTTGGAATGATAATTTATCGATTTCAAATTTCAATTTTCGCAGTAGCTTTCCTGATTCTGTGCTAATTACATGATTACGTGCCCAGCCAAGTTCCCGTATCACGAGAAATAAATCAGTGTTTGCGAACGTTAAATTGTTTTAAGAAAATAACGTTACTGATTAAGGAAGGGTGAGTTGGTTTGCACAAAATTGGTATTGTATTTCTATATATGATACTATAAATGTTGTTCTTATGACAGTTCTAGACCGTAATTGAATATGAATGAGGTAGACGATGAATTTTATTTCATTTTGAATTCTTTTTGTTATGCTGACATAATCAGAATCAGAATCTAAAT